TGCCCAAGAGGCCTTCAAGACGGCCCAAGAGGCCTCCGAGAGGTCCTCCAGGAGGGCCCGAAGAGGCCAACATGTTTGATCTTCCTCAGGTTTTCAAAGGTTTTTCGTATTTGCTCCTTTTCGGCTTTCCGACGACCCGAGACAGCCCAAGAGGCCCCCAAGATCGCCCCCACAGCGCCCAAGAGGCCTCCAAGATGGCCTCAGGACTGCCCAAGAGGCCCCCAAGACGGCCCCAAGAGGGCACCAAGACAACCCAAGAGGCCTCCATGACGCCCAAGATGGCCTCTAAGACGGCCTTGGAGCACCCCAAGAGGGCCCCAAGTCGGCCCAGAGAGGCCCCCCAAACGCCTTCCGACGGCGTCAGACGGGCCAGAAGCCCACCAAGATGGCCGAAGTTGGCTCGAAGCTGGCCCAAGACGGCCTCCAAGAGGGCCTCCAGGAAGGCCCGAAAAGGCCAAAAACATTGATTTTCCTTTGGTTTTTGACAGATTTTGACATTTGCTTCTTTTCGGCCATCCGAAGGCCCGATACGGCCCAAGAGCCCCCAAAGATCGCCCAAGAGGCCTCCAAGATGGTCCCAGAACGGCCCAAGAGGCTCCCAACACGGCCCCAAGAGGCCCCTAAGACGGCCCAGGAGGCTTTTCAGACGCCCAAGATGGCCTCCAAGACGGCCCTGGAGCATTCCAAAAAGGGCCCCAAGTCGGCCCAGAGGGGCCCCACAAACGGCTTCCGACGGCGTCGGACGGGCCAGGAGCCCACCAAAACGGCCGAAGATGGCCCTAAGGTGGCCCAAGACGGCCCAAGAGGCTTCCAAGAGGGCCTCCAGGAAGGCCAGAAAAATGTCAAAATCCTTGATTTCCCATGAGTTTTTGAAGTATTATGGCATTTGCTTTTTTTCGGCCTTCTGACGGCCCGAGACGGCCCAAGTGCCCCCCCCCCCAAGATCGCCCAAGAGGCTCACGACGGCCCCAAGAGGCCCCCAAGACGGCCCAAGAGGCCTCCAAGACGCTCAAGATGGCCTCCAAGACGGCCCAAGAGCCCTCCAAGACGTCCTCCAAGAAGGCTCGAAAGGGTCAAAATGGCCTCCAGACGGCCAAGATGACTTTCAAGATGCCCACGTGTTCCCCGAAGGCTTTCCAAACCGATTCGGGGAACACATGGTCCGATAGCTTGGCAGGTCTGGCCTCAAGGTTCGGCCACAGAGGCGCTTCCCAAAAGGCAGGGGGCGGCGGTGATTCGCCGTAGGCGTCTTAGATCCGCCGCACCCTGTTGATTCATCACAGGGATGCCTGGCGTGCTGAACCCTTTCGGTTTGGTTTTGGTTCTTTTCCAAAATAACTCCCCCTGGGGCTCCGGCGCGTCCCGCCGGGGTCCTGACAAGGTGCTCAGTCCGGGAAAAAATCCTCCAAGATGGCTCAAGATGGCGCCAAGATGGCCACGTTGGCCCAAGATGGCCTCCAAGACGGCCAAGATGGCCTCCAAGTTCGCCCAATATGGTCCAAGACGGCCTCCAAGACGGCCAAAGAGAGTCCAAGACGGCCCAAGAGGCTCTCCAGAGGCCAAGACGGCCCAAGAGGCCTCCAAGAGGTCTCCAGGAGGGCCCGAAGAGGCCCAAATCATTGATTTTCCCTAAGTCTTTGAAGGATTTGTGCATTCGCTTCTTCTCGGCATTCCAACGGCTGAAGACGGCCCAAGAGGCCCCAAAGATCGCCCCAAGAGGGCTCCAAGAGGGCCCCAAGACGGTCCAAGAGGCCTCCAAGACGGCCCCAAGAGGGCCCCAAGACGGTCCAAGAGACCTTCAAGACGCCCAAGATGGCCTCCAAAACGATCCCGAAGCGCCCCAAAAGAACCCCAAATCGGTTCAGAGAGGCCCCCAAGACGGCTCCCGACGGCGTCAGACGGGCCAGGAACGCCATAAGACGGCCAAGGAGGCCCCCGAGAAGCTCCAAAAGGGCCCCAAGAGGCCCACAAGAGGCCCCAAGAGAGCCCAAGATAGCCCCAACATGGCCTCCAAGACGATCCTAAGATGCCCCAATCGAGCCCTAGAGTGCCTCAAGAGGCTCCGAAGAGACATCCTCTCCCTTCTCCTTTTTCCTCCTTCTCCTCCTCTTGCTCTTCCTCCCCGACACGTGTTCCCCGAAGGCTTTCCAAACCGACTCGGGGAACACATGGCCCGATAGCTTCGCCCCCCAAGATGCCTCCAAGACGGCCTAACATGGCGTCAATATTGCCCAAGACGGCCAAAGAGGCCCCCAAGAGGCCTCCAAGACGGCCCAAGAGGCCTCCAAGAGGTCCTCCAGGAGGGCCCAAAGAGACCAAAATCACTTATTTTCCCCAAGTGTTTCAAGGATGTTGACGGCTCAAGACGGCCCAAGAGGCATCTTCCTCTTCATCTTTATGTTCATTCTCCCCCGCGTGTTCCCCGAAAACTTTCCAAACCGATTCGGGGAACACATGGTCTGATAGCTTGGCAGGCCTCTGGTCACAACGTTCGGCCACATAGGCGCTTCCGAAAGGGCAGGGTGCGACGGTGATTCGCCGTAGGCGACGGCGAGTTCGATAACGCCAACGTTTCAATATGCGCTGATGACTCCTATCCGCCCCCGCATGAGGTTCCCAGATGCGCCAAGGCAGCGCCGAGACGCACCGACGCGACTCTGTTATATCCCATTATGATGGAGAGGGGGCCGGCGGCAGGGGGCGAAGCCCTTACGGATATACACATAGGCACGCGTATCGATGGGTATATCAAAACATGTATACACATTTTTGTGGTTATTATTATTTTGACGCCTCTGCATACATACAAGCACACACGCATCCGTCCGTCCATACATCCATGCATACATGCATACACGCATACGCACATACATACATACAGACAGACATACAGACAGACAGACAGGCACACGCGCAAACAAACACACATACAACCACACAACCGACAGACAAACGAATCCACAAACACAGCAACCAACAAACAACCATGAATGCATGTATGCATGCCTGCATGCGTGCCTCTCGCGAAGACATGCATCAAGCATACATGCTCACACACTTATACATCTGTGTGTGTGTGTGCGTGCATATACTTATGCGTGCATATACATTGGTGCATGCATATGCGTATGTACGTATATATCTATACACAACATGCCTGAACCCCGTCCTCCCTACACGAGACCCCCTGGACCCTTGTCCTCGGGGGCCCCCCGGACGCCCCCGCAGAAGGCCACCCGGTCCTCCCGGAGCTCTTGGCAGCCCCTGCTGGGCCCAGGCAGCGGGCCCAAGTCGGTTCTCGGAGGGCCGCCGAACGGCCGCCCGAGGGCCCCAGGAGGCTCCAGACACTCTCCAGACGCCCCCAAAAACGACCCAATGAAGATCCCCCAAGAGGCCTTCGAAACGCAGCAACAACACGAGGACCCGATGGTTTTTTGTGTGCTTTTGTGACTGCTCCGTCCTTCGGTCTTCCAAGCGTCCGAGACAGGCCAAGAGGCCCGAACAACTCGCCCCAAAATCTATCAGAAAGGGCTTCCAGGCAATCCAAGAGAGCTCCCGAACGGCCCAACAGGGCCCCAGTATGGTCCAAAGAGAGCCCCATGACGGCCCAAGATGGCCCCAAGACGCCCCCTCAACCATTCCAAATCGTGACCTGGTCGTTCGGGGAGACCGCAGTTGGAAGCAAGGTGGCCCGAGGAAGCCCCCAGAGTCCGCCAGAAGCCGCCCAAGAGGCAGAAGACCCCTAAGAAGCCCTTCAATACTTTCGTGAAGGCCCAAGCAGCTTTGCAATGAGGAGCCTCCGCAGAAAGAACTGAGGAGGATGGGGAAGAATCCGCAAAATAAAGCGAGAATGAGGAAGAGGAAGAGGAACCGTGAGGGAGGGATAACGAATGGCATTCTCATGACGACGATGTCGGACAAGACAGCACGAAATTAGCGCTATCGTTCTGTTTTACGTTCCTGCCCTTCCGCCGCGATTTCCGCCTGCATGCCAAACTTCAAGGACCAGGGTGCATGGCGCGAAGCGCCAATGTAGTCTTACATCTCTACATCTAGCGATTTACTCATCGATCTGACCAACACACCTTTTTGTGGGGAGCAACGATCCATGACTACGGACAACGAGGTCACCTTCGTGCCAGTATCCCAGGAGCCGGGTCCACTACTACAGCAGATGCCTTCTCTAGCTGGGCTTCCGACCTTTGCGTGGAATGCGGACCGTGCCTCTGGAACAGATGTTCCCGAATATCCCAATCGCTCCTGCCTGTGCTCCTGCTCCTTTTCCTCCTCCCCGTTCCCCCTCCCCCTCCTCATTTTCGACGTCCTCTCTCCCTCGCTCTCTCTCTCTCTCTCCCCCCTTCTCATTCTTCTCCTCCGACTCTTCCTCGTCGTTCCTTTCGTTCTCGCCCTCGTCCTCGTCATCTCCATCCTGCCCCTCCCTCCCCCTCCTCCTCCTCCTCCTCCTCCTCCTCCTCCTCCTTGCAAAGCCATGCCAGGCAACCGCGATAAGTCTTCAGACCCCCCCCCATAAAGGTGGTAACTGATCATTTTCTTCGGCGGCCTTATTCAAGGACTGGGGTTACACCAACAGGGGGTAACTAATCATTTAGTTCAGCGGCACCCGCCGCGCAACAACGACGACAACAGGAGGAGGAGGAGGAAGAAGAGGAGGGGGAGGGGAAGAGGGGGGAGGGAGGACGAGGTTTTAGGACCAGTCCTATTCACCGCCGAGTGAAAAGGGGGGATCAAATTTAAAGACCTCTTGAGGTTAATGACACACGCCAGCTGTTGGTTGTTGATGTTGAATCGTTTCCCTTCTTGTCCATATGCCCTCACCCCCGTCCTTCCTCCTCGAAGCCGACCCCTCTGCCACCCTCCCACTCTAGGAGCGCACGAGTTCGACGCGGACCCCTGGAGGCCTGGAGGAGCAGAAACGCCTCCTCCTCGTCATCCTCCCCCACCTACTCACTCGCAAGCGGCGACGGATTGTCTTCGAGCACCAGGAGGAGCAGCGCCGGCGCCAGCGACTGCATGGCGGGCGGAGGGGCCTGCGATCCTCTAGGCCTCCCCCCTCCTTGGGAGGGCCAGGGGGGCCAGCGGAGGATGCAGACGAGCGGGGGGGGGGGGGCAGCGATGGGGGAGGAGGGGACGAGGGATGGAGAAGGATGCAGCAAGGAGGGAGTGGGGACGAGGCAGAGAGGGAGAGGCGGGGCAGAATGGGAGGATGTACGGATGAACGGGAGGGGGGGGTGCGGGGGGAGGAGGAGGGGAGGGACATGGAGAAGGAGGGAGGGCGAGGATGACGAGGGGGAACATGAGATGAGGAGGGAGAGGCGAGGAGAGGAGGAGAGGAAAAAAGGGAGCAGGGGAGCAGGGAGGAGGCAGGAGGAGGGGGGGAAGAGGATTCGGGGGACGGTGCCAGGGAGCAGGGGGGAGGGAATCTACAGATGACGAGGCAGGGGGAGGGGGGGGGGGAAGCGAAACGGGACGGAGGAGGGACGAGAAGAGTGGAGGGATGAGGGGCTCAGGGAGGGGGGGGGGGAAGGGACACGCAGGAGGGACGACTGGGGAGTTTCGAGAGAGAGAGAGAGAGAGCCCAGGTACTACATCGGAGGAGGAGAAGGAGGAGGAGGAGGAAAGGGAGGTGGGGGAGGACGAGGACGTCGAGGAGGGGAAGGCCGCGCCCTGGACCGCACTGGGCTGCAGGGGGCGTGGGGGGGACACGGCCCGCTGGCGCCCGGGGAGGCTCGGCGGCGACGATAGGGGCGACCAGCCCAGGGGCGGGCATTACACGCATTCGCCCGGGAGCCTCGCCTCGCCCGGGAGCCTCGCCGAAGACATAGACCATCGGCGCCCCTGGATAGACCGTACTGCCCCCCCCCCCCCTGAGCTATATTGGCCCCTGTCGTCGCCTCGGAGAGGCGGCCAGAGGACCGCGGGAGCAAGCTCGCGCGCGGCCCCGCCCCCCGGGGCGGTCGTGAAGTTACCTGGTAGCACTGACGGACAGAACGGCTGCGGGCGCTCCATGCCTGTCCCTCCGCCTCCCTCCCTCCTGCCTCCCACCCTCCCTGACTCCCTTCTCCTCCTCCTCCTCCTCTTCCTCCTCCTCCTCCTCCTCCTCCTCCTCCCTGACTCCCGCCTTCTCCGGCCGATGTCAGTGACACTCGGCAGCTTCTGGAATCCGCCCCTCCCGCAACAGGCTGGCAGTCGGAGAAGAGAATAATCAGTCCAGCACTGAATTGGCTTGCCCCCCCTCCCTGGGCGTTTCTGACGCTGCTGCCCATCAAGCTTCTTGTTCAAACCTGCGAAATCAACAATTGCTAGGCCGAAGCGAGATGCGAACTGCTGCTCCGCCCATTTCTCACCCTACACTCCCCGCCCACCAAACTCCACCGAATCCTTCACCCCCCCGTCGAGAAGCTTGCTCGACAGGCGAACCGTGACAGCGGGCAGCAAGCTCGAGATCCACAGAACGGGCAGGTCGCGTACAAGCTGGGCTTCTCTCTCCAGTGGAGCGGCTCTGGTATGTGCATGATTCAGGGAGGGGAGATCACGGGGATTCTCAATCTTCGATGGAGGTCCTCGGACATCCAACGTCTCGAGACGGTCGGGATCGCTCTCCTTCGCCGCTTTCGGCATCCGGGCCCGCGGACAGCCAAACTGTTGACTCAGGCTGGCAAGCCTTGCCCCCCTGGGCAGAGGGCCAGGACTTTGGGGATCCCGCATGGACACGCCGAGGACATCGGATGCCTGGGCCCGGGGCAGGCGGGGGCAGGAGCAAGGCAGCTCTTTACGGCGAGCCGCCTGTGCGACCGCCGGCTCCGCGTCGGCCCTGGAGGGGGGCCAGCGCGGCCGGGCCTGGCGGGCAGGGCGGGGCGAGGGGGCAGCGGAACCTGTACCTATCCACTGCAGACTGGCCAGGGCCACCCTGAGCCCAGCAGCAGCGTACTCCAGATTTCGTAAGAAAGGGAGGGGGGTCTCATTTCGGGGGGGGTCTCTTCCAGGCTATCTTGGAGGGCCTGGGGGATCTGGGGTCGATGTTTTGGAGGGTTCTCCCACGGGGGAGGTCTGAAATGACTTGTCTTGGAGGGTCCAGACCCCCTCCCTTTTATTACGAAGTCTGGAGTACGCGCCACGCCCTCCTGGCTGGGCCAGGGGTCGGGTGGTGCCAGAAGCGCCCCTGGCCCGAGGCGCCCCCAGGGGATCTCCAAGGAGCCCCCCGCTGCCTCCGGAGCGCCACTCGCGAGGCCCAGGGGGGCGTGCTCGGAGACTGGGCGAAGAGCCAGGGGGGCGCCTCGGGCCAGGGGCACCCTTGGGCAGCCCCCGAGGGAGGGCGTAGACACAGCTCCAGACCCAGAGCACCAACCACAGGCGCATAAGGGGGCCCCAGGTGCTCGAACATCGTGCCAAAAGCTGGGGGCACCTTGGGCCAGGGGCACCCTCGGGCAGCCCCCGAGGGAGGGCGTAGTCACAGCCCCTGGGCCCAGGAAGGGCCTGGCCGAGGGCCAGTGGACATGCACAGCTTTCGTCACCCGAGGCGAAGGGAGCCACGGCCTCGACCGTGGAACTGGAACCGCCCCAGCCGCGCGCCCCGCCCGCCTACTGCGGCGCGTCTCTGCCAGGCCTCGCGGGAGGGAGGGGGCGCGAAGGCCAGAGCGCTCAGGGAAGGGCAGCCGCCCCCTCCTCCTCCTCCTCCTCCTCCTCCTACATTTGCTCCACTTCCGCCTCCCTCCTCCTCTCTCCTCCTCCTCCAACTCTTCCTCCTCCTCCTCCTCCTCCTCCGCCTCCTCCTCCGCCTCCTCCTCCTCCTCCTCCTCCTCGTCCTCCTCCTCGTCCTCGTCCTCGTCCTCGTCCTCGTCCTCGTCCTCGTCCTCGTCCTCCTCCTCCTCCTCCTCCTCCTCCTCGTCTACCGTCCACCGTCTTCCGTCCATCGTCCATCGTTCCTCCTCCTCCTCCCCCTCCCTCTTCCCCCCTCCTCCTACATTTGCTCCACTTCCGCCTCCACTTCCCCCTCCTCCTTCCTCGTCCTTTCCATCCTCCTCCTCCTCTTCTCCTCTCTTTCTCCTCTTTCCTTCCTCCTCCTCTCCTCCTCCTCCTCCTCCTCCCTCCTCCCCCCTCCTCCTCCCCCTCCTCCTCCTCCTCCTCCTCCTCCTCCGCCTCCTCTTCTTCCTCCTCCTCCTGCTCCTCCTCCTCCTCCTCTCGTCCTCGTCCTCCTCCTTCTCCTTCTCCTCCTCCTCCTCCTCCTCCTCCTCCTCCTCCTCTGTCTATCGTCCATCGTCCATCCTCCTCGTCGCTTCCTCCCTCCTCCCTCTTCCCCCTCCTCCTCCTTCTCCTCGTCCTCCTCCGTGCCGGGGAGGAGGACTGGCAAGTTGTCGTCCACATCATCGTATGTCTTCGTGCAGTGGGCTACAGCCAAGTCGCGTCACAAATCCTGGCGCTTCCACTCGCTTCGCACGGCCCTGGGGGGGGAGGAGGAAGCCCCCCCCAAGAGCGGAGGGTGCGAACCCGACCCATCTGCCCCCGCAGCGCGCGGCCTCTCCGAAGCCAAGCGGGCAGACGCCGGTCGGGCCCGTGGGGGAGCACCCCCCCCCCACCCCCAGGGCGGGTTGGGCGGGCCAGCGACAGCACGTGGTCACTATGGACCCGAAGAAATGGCCCCATTCGCCCAGTGAGCGCAGCAGGCCACTATGGGCCACCGCACGTGGTCATTATGGACCGAAACACGAGACACGGTACAGGCCATTATGGACCGAGAAGCGAGACAAGGTACAGTATTTACTCCCCGCCCCAATACCCGGCGGAAAAAGCACGGCACAGTACAGCACCGCACAACGCAAACGGGAGGCGGGCGCTGGTCGGCCAGCGCGCGGTCGACCAGCCGAGCGAGGGCGCCCCCGCGACCAGCCGCGGGGTCGTTTCCAGCGCAGGCGGAGTTGTGCCAGTAACCCCGTTATTCCGACCACGCAAATCCTGGCGCTTGCACTCGCCTCGCACGGCCCTGGGGGGGGAGGAGGACCCCCCCCGGGAGCGGAGGGGTCAGACCCGACCCATCTGCTCCCGCAGCGCGCGGCCAAGCGGACAGACGTCGGTCGGGCCCGTGGGGGAGCACCGCCCACTACGGCGCTCCCGCGGGCCGCGCCAAGCGCTGCCACCCGCTGTCCCCGCGTGCCGGGGTGCGCCCGAGTGTGTGCCGTGCAGTCACGACCCCCAGATTACGCGAGGTGCTTGGACATCGCCATCGTCGCTGGGCGACTCTGCCCAGTGGACTTCGACGACCGATTGTCGCTCGAGCCGGGGAGCCTTGAGGGATTTTCATCCACGCGGTCAGATGCCGGCCGCCCGCGCGAAGGAGGTCGGTGACCGGGCCTCCTGGCGCCCGCGCGACGCGCCGTGGAAGATGACGAGACTGACTCGCTCGAGGTCGCCCGCCTCGCGATGCCGGTCTCGCGACGGCCGACGCGGAGCGCCCGCGGGCCAGCGCGGATCGCGCGAAAAGACCTAGGGGCAATCCCGGGCGAGGGGGCGGGCGCAGGAGGAGCGCCCGTGCCGCCCCGCCGAATGCAGCTGGCGCGCCGCCGCGCTGGGCTAGCTGTCGCGATGTCCGCGAGGACCACCTTGCGGGCGTCGCTAGATAATGCCGCGGCGCCCCTGAAGTCTGCCAGGGTGGCGCCGACCAAGTCGCTCGCGGCGTCGGCGCCAATGTCGGCAGGCAGCGCAGCAGCATCGACAACAATAATAGGGCGTGCCTTAGGGCAAACTGCGCGAAGCTGAGCGATCAATCCAGACTGCGCCATCTTTCGCTGAAGGAATCCTCAAGGCGCGCCGGCAGCGCGGCGAATTAAGCGCGCGCGCGCGTCGCGATGCCCGGCCGCGACGCGCGCGAGGGAGGACCCAGCGTCTGCCCGACCTGGCGGGCGCGCCCTGACCGACGATGGAAGACGCAATGCGTTGCGCGCGTGCCCGGTGCCCGAGCCGGTCATGTCCGGCGGCGAGGAAGCCGCGCGCTCGGGTCGAACCGCGCATCGTCAAGCGCCAGAAGAGACCACTCCACCCCCATGCGACGCAACAGGGAGTATGACTCGCGCGAGGGCAAGTCGGCGATATTGGCTGCTGACGCCACTCGATGGACGTGCAGATCGCAATTTGCACGCAGCGCCATGCGCCAAATTGAATGGACCAGGCAAGCGCGGTCGAACTGCTTCGCCGCGCCAGGCCGGGCGGCCCGCTTGCTGCCTGGATTCTGCAGAGATATTCACGCATCGGCCCGGCAGGAGCAGCTCGAAGGTGGCCGAGCCCAGCGCGATGCTGAGCACCTCCAGACCCCTGATTTGATTGTCGCGCCCGCCTTTCTCTAAAGGGCCGAAGCAAGGGCTCGGGCGGGGCGGCGTCGGTGAAGATTATGCGCCGGTCAATGAAAAGAACCGCGGCCACCCTGGCCCGATGGCCCCGCGCGTCGGAGAGCAATTGAACAGACATGGTGTCTGGCGCCTGCCACTCTCGAGTCGTGGAGAAATCGTTGGAGAGCGCTTCGTGCCACCAGTGCAGACAGACTCGCAGGTGCTCCGGGGTGCTCGGATGGCGCGCCCCCGCGCGCTCGAATAACGGCGGGGGCAGCGCGCGCCCCAAACGCCCGAAGGTGTTAGAGGCGGCTCAACAGGAGCGGCCCGCTGGGCGCGCGCCCGCGCTCGAGCGCGCCCGCCTGAATGGCAGCGGCGATCCCGGCGCCCCGGGCGCGCGTCTGGCAGCGGCTAACGCGCAGGGCCTTTGCATGGCCTTTCTCATCAATCGTCGCAGACAGACCCAAGTCGCTAAGCGGATTGCCGAACTGCAGCTCGTCGTCGGCCACGGCGCACGGACCTAGGATCATCTTTGCAAGTTCGGCGAACTGTCGCATTGCGTCGCGCTGCCCTTCCTTGCGTTCAGGGGGGAGAAATTGTCCGCGCGCCGAAGGGTGGGAACGAGAATGAACCTTCGGCCCAGCGCGGTCGCGCCGATGCGCCCCCAATTGCGAACGGGGGATGTCGCTCCGATTGGGGCGGCGACGCGCCAGGCCACGTGCGCGCATGTGCCCGCGAGGAAAGCAATCCACGCGAAGGCGCGATGTCCAAGCGTCAGCGGGGCTCGCCAGAACGCGGCGTCTATGTCCACCTTCCAGAGCCCGGGCGCATCGCCCGCGCGCGCCAAAGGCGCTGCGCGTGCCGAGCACAGCGTCGATGGCTTCATGGCCGAGGCGCTCCTTCGGCTGAGGCGCCGCGTTGCTTAAAGAGCGCCGCGCATCATCTGCAAGCCGCGGCTTTTCGGGCCCGTCCTCGCTCATTTGCTGGGCGCCGAACCGCGGCGTCAGAACGGCGCCGTCGAACTCGACCGCGCTGCTTAGCGCAGGATGGCTCATCCGGCCAAGCTCCGCTTCGGCTATAGTCTTGGCGAGAATCTCGGCCGAGTCGCTAGGCTCTTTGAGCGCGCCGAGCAGCGCGGCCTTGCCGCGCTCTGGTTCGAACGCGCTCGAGAGTCGCGCGCCGCCCGCGGCGCGCCCGCCGCGCCGGGCGCGCAGCAGTCCCATCGATCGCCGCCCAGACGTCGCCGGGCACCACCGCGGCCTCTTCGAATACCTCTGCGTCTTCGAGGGCATGAGAACGGGGGAAGGCCTCTTCGAGGAAGGCAAGGTCAGGCGCCCCCGCAGCAGACGGAGGCGACGGCAGGCGACTGCAGCCGGCCATGGCCCGCGCGCGACCGCGTTGATTGCAGGCGCCGTTCTGCCGTGCGCGCGAGCCCGCGAGCGTCGCGCGCGCCCCGAGGCGCAGAACCCGATACCACCGCGTGGCATCGACACTTGGCCCCGTCGCTTCCCGCGCTTCGCGAGAGCAAGCGCGCGGGTCTGCCAGGGGCGTTCGCGCGCCCCCTGGCCCAGCGGGCGGGCGGCCCTCGCGTCGCAAGTCTGGCGCCCGCGCCCTGGGCGACGCGGCGTCGTCGCGGCGCCCAGCCGCCGGCGCGCGCGCGCCTGTGGGCCCCGCGGGGCGGTGGCCGTGGTCGGCGCCTCGTCGTTATGCAAATGCCGACGTGGGGCGAGGTGCATATCCTCATTGGCGCGCGCCGCAGACGTCGCCGCGCGCCGCGCGACGCGCGCGCCTCCAGCTGGCGCCAGGCGGACGGCTTCTTCCGAGGTGAATGCGCCGTCGCGAATCCTAGGGGCGCCTGTTATTGTGCTCCCCGCGGTAAGAAGAGCGGGAAGACCGCCCGTCGGCTCTCGGCTCGCGGTCGCTCTTCCAGGTGCCGGCGGCGCCCGCGGCGTCCGCGGCGTCGCACTCTGCCCGCGCACCGCCGCGGCGCCTCTTGCCGCGCCCTTGCCGAATGGCGCGGCTGCGAAGCTGCGTGGCGCGAAGCTGCGGCCCTGAAATCCGCCGCGCCGGCGGCGGCGCGCTCGGCCCGCGTCCGCCGCGCAGGGCGGTCGTCTGCCAAGGCAACCTGGGCCTTCCGCCCCTGCAAAGGGCGCCCGGTGCAACCTGGGCGGGCGCGCCCCCGCGGGCGACGGGCAGACGGGCCGGCCGGGGCTCGCCTGGAGAGCGACCCGTTTGTGGGCCATGGCGCTTGCATGCGATATCTGATCTGTGACCGCCGCCACCGAGCTCCACGCGTCATGCGCCTGGCGCCGTGGCGTCCTCGCCAGGGGCGGCTGGCTCTCCGCCGCGGTGCCCCGGCTGGGCGCTGTAGCCAGCGCGGCTGCCTCATTCGACGCGGGCTCGTCGTCGCCGGGAGAGCCGCCCGCGCCGCGCGCGCGAGGAGGTTGAAACTTCGCGAGCTCCGTGTGGATGCGCGGTCGCTCGATGCCCTTGGCTTTAGCGCGCTGCGCCTCGGTGGCCAACGCACCGGTCTTCGCCGACCCCGGGGCCTGGGGTGGGTTTGGGGTCCCGCTTTTGGAAAACCCTCCTTGGGGGGGGGGTTGGGTTTTTGGGCTCCCCCCTGGGGGTTCCTCCTCCCTCCTCCTCCTCCCCTTGGGGGCCAGAGCCGGAGCGAAGCTGGATCGGCAAAAGCCGGCAGAAATCGGCTGACGCATCGAATCGGCAGAAGCCGGATCGGGCAAACTCGAAATCGGAATCGCGAATCGGAATCCCAGAATCGAGTCGGTTCGAAATCGGAATCGCGGAAATCGATTCGAATCGAACCGGCGGAATCGGAATGACCCCTGTCCTCCTCCTCCTCCTCCTCCTCCTCCTCCTCCTCTCTCCTCCTCTCTCCTCCTCCTCCTCCTCCTCCTCCTCCTCCTCCTCCTCGTCCTCGTCCTCGTCCTCGTCCTCGTCCTCCTCCTCCTCCTCCTCCTCCTCCTCCTCCTCCCTGGGGCCGATCCCGCCTCGGAGCCGTCGCAGACTTCTCGGCCGCCCGAGAGAGAGCCTCCGCAGGGGCACCCTTATTAGGCCGAGGAGAAGAAGCCGAGCGAGCGAGCGGGCCCGCAGGCCCGGGGCAGCGGGCACCTCCGCCAGACGCCCCCCGCCCGGCCGCCGACGGTCGACCCGGCGGCCCATCGATCCGATTCGCCCACCGGGGCGCCGCGGAGTGCGAGGACGCCCCGTCGGCGATGGGGCGTCCTCGCACAGGGCTGCACCTGAGCGGTGCTTTTCGTCCTCGTTTCGTGTTCGCTCTCCCTCGTTTTTTCTGTCCCCAATCCGCGCTGTGGACGCAACACGTCGTCGCAGCGGAAACGGCCCACGAGATCGCCAAACACCGTGTAGGTCCACCCCCGCCGCCTTGTGAGCTGGCCCGGCCGGCCTGTTCTGCGCCCTGCAGCTAATCAGGTTTGTTCGCAGCCCCGGACAACTTCTGTCGCAGCGTGCGCTCTTCGCTCGCGGCCGCGACCGAAAAAGTGTAGGTCCACCCCTGCCCTCGCCCTCCGCGGCACTCCGCCGCAGCGAAACGGGGCGGCGTGCGCCCGCGCCCGCCCGCCGTCCGTCGCCTCGGCAGGCCCGCCGAGCCGACCGCTCCGCGCAGCGCTCGCGCCGCTCATGCGGATCCCAAACCGGCTTGTTGTACATAGGAGGCAAACGAACCTACCTCGCTTTTGACCACCCTCGCTTCCAAACGATACCAGACGATGCCAGGCTACGGCCCGCACCAGACAGATCGCTTGACCAGGAGGCGCGTGGTATGACTTGGTTTTGTCTGGAAGCGAAAGCGGGGTAGGTCATTCACGATCTGAGTACAGTCGGACCTGGGCCAGAAGAGCATCCCTCAAGAGCATGAGACCCTCCGTCGGCCAAAGCAAACAGAGCATCTAAGGGTACCCTCCCCCAGGACGCAAGAGAGCTTCCGACGCACACGGAATACACTGGGGTACCCTCCCCGAACCGACCTGGGTCTCATGCCTCGGTCCGACTGGAAGGGTGGGCTTGGGCCCCTCGCTTGGCTAGATCATGGGCTCGCTTCTTGCCTTTCTGAGCCCACTCGGAAACTCCGCGCCAACGGGCCTGGCTGAGGGCGAAGTGAAGCCTGATTCTACCAACGGACACCCGCTCGCGCCACGCATCCTTGGCACGCCTAAGCCTATCAACCATCTCCTCCTCCTTCTCCTCCGCTTCTCTTCCTCCTCCTACTCTTTCCCCCCTCCTCGTTTCACTCCCAAGCCCCCACTGCTCCTTCTCCTCGTCCTCCGCCCCTCCCTCTTCATTTCTTCCCACCCGCCCTCATGTTTCCAGGTCGTCCCTCCTCTTCAAGTTCCCTACCTAGGCTCTGCCTATGCCTAGAAGGGTTCTTACTGGCTTTGCTTAAAGGGCCGGGCAGTGGAAAACGCCCCGGTCGGTTCCCCTGGCATCCGCCCCGCGGTTCCCCCAGGATCCGCCCCGCGGTTCCCCCAGTTACGTCCCCTGGGTTCACCCAGCTTAGCTTAGCTAAGCTAAGCTTAGCTTGAGCTTAGCTTATCTCATCTTAGCTTAGCTTAGCTTTGCCTAGCCTAGCTTTGCTTAACTTAGCTTAGCTCATATCATCTTAACTTGGCTTAGCTTGGTTTAGCTTAGCCTAGCCTGGCTTAGCTTAGCATAGCTTACCTTAGCTTAGCGCAGCATTTGCACATCATACCATAACATATCATAGCCAATCATACCATAGCATATCATATCACAACATATCATAGCGCAGCATAGCATATCATAGCATAGCATTGCTTAGCATAGCACAGCGCAGCGTACCATATCATAACACACCCTATCATATCATGCCATAGTGCAGCATATCATATGATATCATATCATAGCGCAGCATAACATATCATATCATAGCCTAGCCTAGCATATCATAGCGCAGCATAGCATAGCATAGCATAACATCGCATCGCATAGCGCAGCATATCATAGCATAGCATAACACAGCGCAGCCGAGCGTACCCTAGCATAGTATAGCATAGCAGCATAGCGCAGCATAGCATAGTATAACATAGCATAGCGCAGAGTAGACGGCATGTAGATGCAGGTGTAGATGTACATGTAGCTGTCGGTGTAGATGTAGATGTTGCTTTCCTGAATGCTCCAACTCCTAGGTAGGGTCGCACTGGGATAATTTATGATCCTCCTTTTCTTCCCCCCTTCCCTCTTGCTCCAACCTCTTTCTCTTCACTGTGTACTGCGAGTCATACTCTCCTCTCTCCCCCGACTACGTGCTGAACCTATCCCGCCATCTCCGTGTATTTTGTGCTCTGTACAGGACTTCAACAATTCATATTTCTCATGCTCAATAGGAACACTCTCGGTATTTCAAGATGGTGCTCATGCTGCAGCGTGGGCCTCGTTGCAGGATCGGCGCCCTGCTCCCGTCGTTCAGAGTTGGCGCTCTCGCCTCAGCGCGGGCAACTTTTCGGGAACCGAGTCTTTCTTCATCGTTGTCGCCCCACTCCTTTGTCATCCTCGACCTTCCCCTGTCATCCAGCTCCTCCTACTCCTGCTCCTGCTGCTTCCCCTTCTCCTCCTCCTTCTCCTTCCTCATCCTTTTCTCTTGCTCCCGCTGATCCGCCGCCACCTCCTCCTCATCCCCACCTTTCTGATTGCGCATAGCACGATGGTGTCCTCTGTAGGGTTTCTCGCTGTCACACCCGTCGACGGATCTAGAAGTATCAGCGCACCTGGCGTGCTTTTTCTCCTCCCGCCCTGTGCCTTTGTATTCCTCCTCCTCCTCCTGCCCAATGCTAAGACAAAGCCGGGACGAGGGCGAATCCGGTGGAAGATAAATCGAGAATCTTTGAGATCCGGCGGCTCTGGAGGATGTCTCGGGCGCCGCGGCCTTCTCTGAGGGTTCCGGAACGCTCTGGGACGGACGTGTCCTCGCCCTGGCCACGTCCGCCCTCCTCCTCCTGCCCAATGTCGCTGGCCTCGGCGGCGCGAAGGTGACCCACCGCTCGGACTCCTTGCCGGGCAGCTCCCTGCGGATCTGCCCGAGCGACTGCACGTTCGCCTCTCATCAAAGGAGGCGGAGGGGACGAGGGGCGGGGGTTAGTGGAGGAGGACTGCTGCTCCTCTCGCCGTTGTCCTCCTTCCCCTACCCCCCTGCTCGTCGTCGTTGCCGTCGTCGTCCATCTGCTCGTCCTGGTCCTCCCTCCCTCACTCCTGCCCGTCTCCCTCCAACCCGTCCTCTTCGTTCCTTTCGTCCTCGTCTTGCTCTCTTCACTTCATTTCCTCCTCAGCTTTCTCCTCTCTTTCTCTTCTTCCTCCTCCTCCTCCTCCATCGTCGTCGTCCTTGCTCCTCCTACTTCATCCATCCCTCCTCTGCGCTCCCCTCCTCCTCCTCCACCTCCTCCTCCTTCTCATCCTCCTCCTCCTCCTCCTCCTCCCTACTGCCTGCTCCTCCCTCCTCCCCTCTCCTCCCTCTCCCTTCCTCCCCTCCCACCTATTTCACCATGTACCATTCGAGTTCTGCAACTGACAACACCTGCACGCGTGAACTCTGGCTGGCTCAACATTGTAAGTGTAGGCATCTTCATGCTCAACACTTGATGAGAGAAGCGGCAACGGACACATTATCCAGAGCCTCGTATTCAATGATGCCGGCCGATGCCCGATGGGGTGGGAAGGGGAGAGGAGGAAGGAAAGGGCAGAGGGAGAGAACTCGAGCACTATCCAGTGCTCACTTTTTCTTTGGTGGTGAGGCTAATTTTCTTTTTGGAGGCTAACTGGTACGTCGTCTTGAAGGCTGAAGCCCCCTATCACCCACGAGTGGCACGACATTGGCACCACATGCTTCGTGCACGACGTCTCGAGGTAAAGTAATGGAGGGAGGTAGGAGGTGGGTCGATGCATAAGGCCATCCGAGCAGATAGTGAACGGCAACATCGAGCGGCTGTTGGGCTTGGAGTGTGGGTCAGCGGGGTCGCGCAGCATGAAAACAAACAGGATGACTTCGCTTTCTTGCTGGGTACTGCGTCGCACAACGTCCGGCGTATCCTTACCCCATCCGCAGTGGCCGGCAAGACGTCGCACAACCTTCGTCATCTCGGAGCGCGACTGTCGCCCAGCTTCGCTTTAGGGCCCGAGTCAGAACAGCGTGCACATGCTACAAGAGCTGGGAGGAGCAGTGTTTTTTTGTTTGTTTCGAGAAATCTCGGGGGCATGGAAGCTGAAAATGATCCAGGGGTACATTGTCATCTCTAATGCTGGTTAAACGGGCTGGAGTGTTTCACGGCGGACAGCAGGCCGGTTCTCCAAAAGGTTGGTTCCTTCCTGCCTCCCACCTCCTCCCTCCTCCTTCGTGCTCCTTCACCCCTCCGTCCCCCTCCTTTCTCCTCGCTCCTTCTTTTCCCTGCTCCTCCCTCCTCCCCCTTCCTCCCCTCCTTCCCCTCCTCCTTCGTGCTTCTTCCCGCTTCCGTCTCCCTCCTCTCTCCTCACTCCTTCTCTTCCGTGCTCCTCCCTTCCCCCTTCCTCCCCTCCTCCCTTCCCTCCTTCTCTCCTTCCCCCCTTCCTCCCCTCTGTCCTCTCCTCCCTCCTCCCTCCTCCTCCCCCCCTTCCCCCCGCTTCCCATCTCTGCTCCCTCCCCTTCTGGAGAGCTAGCTCCTGGCCCATCGACGACATCAGGATCCTGATGCTAGGCGCGCGCCCTGCAGTTTCGACACCGAGTACGTTGGCGGATGAGAGCCCTCGTGGATGGGGGAAGCCTCGCCAGCGCCGCCGCGGGGGGGTGCTACCCCTCGGTTCTCGGGACCCTCCCCCCCCGGCCGGGAGCTCGGAACCCGGAGCCATTATAGGGAGCCCCCCCCCCAGTTCGAACCCGGGGAGGGGACCCCAAGGGCGGCCACCAGAAAGAGCTTCTGCATGTGAGCACGCCTTGCCTCGATCGTTGCAATCGGACCTGGGCCAGAAGAACATCCCTCAAGAACATGACACCCTCCGTCGACCAACAAAAGTACGGAACATCCAGGGGTGCCCTTCCCAGGGTGCACGAGAACATCCAACAAACGCGAAGAGCACTGGCGTACCCTCCCCGAGCCGACCACGATTGTTACTCGAGCCATCCCACCCTCCCTCGTGAGCCCCAGGCGGCGGTGGTCGAGCGGCCTCCCCCGAGAACCACCTGGCGAACCCGAGCAGCTTGCGCCTGTCGACCACGCGGCCCGAGCGCACACCGTTGACCTGCGCTGGATTGCGCGGGCACGGCCCCTCTCTCTCTCTCTCCTCCTCCTTGTCCTTCCCCTCCTCCTTCCTCTTCTCCTCCTCCTCCTCCTCCTCCTCCTTCCCCTCCTCCTTCATCTCCTCCTCCTCCTCCGCCTCCTTTCTCTCCTCTGCTCCTTGTCCTTGTGAATGAGCCCTCACTGTCGCACCCGGAGGCCAGTCGCAAGGGCTGGCTGGGCGTTTCGCCCGAGACCTCCTTACCAATAATGGGCCTCAAACTTGAAAGCTGGCAACAGCTTCGCAAACGGGGGGCGGGTGGCTTCCAACATTTGGCACTCGCCTTGGCGCTGCATGCGTTCGTCTCAAGCATGTGCAAGATTTTCTCGGATTGAGGGCGGCTCGTATTCAAATTGTGGCTCTCGCCTCAGCGCCGCGCGCGCATTCTCTGTACTTGTTGATACGAGCTTCGCGGATTGAGGGCGCGTCGTTTTCAACATGTGGCCCTCGCGAGCGCCGCGCGCATTCGTTTTCAAACAACTGGCAAGAGCTTCGCAGATGGAGGGCGGGTCGCTTCCAACATGTGGCTCCTCGCCTTAGCGGCTTCGCGCCGCGCGCACTCGTTTCAAACAGTTGCAAGAGTTTCACGGGGTGGGTGAAGGGGCCCTGGGACACACACATAAATGTTTCTCTTACTATTTGGGATCCCCTCTTGTTTTGTGCCACGCCGCTTCCACCAGGGTATTGTCGAGCGGGGCCTCGCGGGCCCACCAGCGGGGCGGCTGAGCCCCATTGAACTCACCGCCCCGTGTTGCCTCTCGCCAGCGCCGCCAGCACCGCGCGGCCGAGCTTCTCCCAGGGCGAGGTCTGGCCGAACGAGGCCTATGGCCCCAGGACTCCTCCGCGGAAAACCAGGGCCCCTCGAAACGGCCGCCAGCGGCCACCAGGAAAACCCGGGCGCCACGATGAGGCAAGACGAGGCCGAGAGGACCCAAGAGCTCTTCCACGTCTCCCCACCTGGTTCACCGCCTTGAAACCACCGCAGTGGGGGAGGCCACATCGTAGGCCAGCAAGCTCCCAAGAAACCTCCATCTTTCGAGGGTTGATTGCGAAGCGCGCAATTCTGAGAGAACCTGCTGGCCTTCTGTAAGGTATATACGAGCCGTCGCCGTGTCTTGCCAACGCCCTCTCTCTAGAGTGGCAGGCATATTACGAGTGCGACGGAAGAGCGATGTGCCCCCCCCTCTTCTTAGACTGTATGGCTTGAATTGAAATTGCTGGCAACCGATGGCAGCACACAGCTGCTCAAATATACGTCTGAAATCACCAATTGAAGATGACAGTATCAGTTGGTCTGACGGAACATGTCGTAATAAGTGCGATATCAGCTGTGTCACCGAGGCATCCTCAATCACGACTGTCTCCTGTCGATGAAATCGCAGGCCACTTTTTGTGATTGGCAGCACCACAACTATTCTAGCGCGAGCCTCGTCGATGGCGACTTGCCAGCGTCGCAAGGTCATCATCTCGGTGGTCCTCAGGAAGGCTGCGAAGCCGAGGGCCAGCAGCGCCGCGACGTCGTTGCGGCCCCAGCCACGCGCGGTGGCAGCCAGCGCCGTCAACACGATGTCAGGCATCGGAAGCACTCGCTGCGGCAGCTCTAGTCTCTGCCAAGCACGAAGTAGCCTCCATGACGCTGGCAGGATGCGCTTCTTGCGCAAAAAGAACTGGACGGCTGACAAAGTTTTCCCTGCCACGCCCTGAGGATGCCCTTCGGTCCAGAGCCACTCGATCCAGTCGGCCGCCAGCAGATCCAGTTGATCAATGTGGTCGGCGCCCCCAGACCAAGAAAGGCCTCTCATAGTAACCCAATCTGAAAAAGTGTCTCACTGCATTCTGATATACCTCCAGGGTCCGTGGCTGCACCAGATTGTGTGATAGGCGACCCACCACGGCCCGAAGCTGACGACGCGTAGCCTGATCCTGCGCTGCTCTGACTCTGTGTTGAACTCGACCTGGCATGAAGTCAACTAGGAGCCGCAGCCGCCCCCCTCGACGGATTGTCCGCGGGGTTGCGGTCAGTCTCCGTGTAGCCATACACGGGACGGGCAAGAGCAGCCAAGATCAAGGCACCAATGCGTCGAACGGTAACATGCAGCAAGTGAGATGATGATCGGCCTCTGGTAATGACTCCGAGACCAGCTTGAGAATCCATCAGATGACAAAAGCGGGTGCGTAAATGTTGAGAGGATCTGAAGCGCCATCGCATGGCTCCCAGAGTGGCTCTCACTTCAAGGTCCGTGATGTGGGACGGGTGCTTCCAGTCCCAGATGGCGGTGGCCTTCCATGGCCAGCGTGCCACACTGACTGGTCGCCTGGGCCACAGATCAGGCCGCATCGCCTCGAACGTGTCAAGCCTGATGTCGCTGCCTCTGGCCTCGGCACGGCGGGCCAGCTCTTCCACGATGATGATGCTGGGGTCCAGCGCGGCATCCTCACTCTCGAGATCGTGCTGGCGCACCAAGACACCGTCGTCGCAATCCATCTGGTCCATGCTGACTGTGGCATCGGCGATGGTGGCGCCACCTCCAGTCTCACGCATCTGCCTGACGGAGGGGATCTCGGTCAGGTAGCCTGCTCTCTGAGCCCAGTGGGCCAGCACCCAGGCGACAACCACACACTGAAAACTGTTCCCAAGCAGAGCGCACCGGCAACGCTCCAGATCAGCTTTCTCAAGCTTGCGCGCTCTAGTCACTCGTGCCGTGATCGTGTGCCCTGGAAGGAAGTCGAGCAGCAGCTCTCTCTCGACACTCGAGGGGGGCCTTCGGCTGCCGTCAGGCTCCTCGATGCAGTTGATGTCCTGGAACTGGTAGGGCGCGTAGCAGTAGTTGAACCTGCGCCAACGCTCGACTTCATGACTTGCACACTTGTCGAGACCTGACGGGAATTGACCTGGAGCACGACGAGGAACACAGCGCAGGAAGGTGGGCAGGCGGAAGTCCTCCTGAACGTCACCCTGCCACTGAAGCCCAGCGGCCAGCCAGCGTTCAACTGGACCGGGCCCGTCCGGGATCACGACGTGCTTCACCGAGTCCATGACAAACTACTCGCCCTGCCATGGCGTCAACAGCTCCTCCTTGATCCAATACAAGCGATCACGCTGGCAGTGTGTGACATCACCCGCTGAGATGCACACAGGTTCGCATTCCAGGGAATGTGACATCAACTGTCGCGGTTCCGAGTCCATTGAGGCCACGTTCTCAACCAGGGACAGCACCGTGCAGAAATCACCCAGCGCCTCGCGCAGAAGAGACACAATGCGGCTTATCTCGTAGAACAGACGTGACCGTCTCCCTTGAAGGCCAGTGCGCTCAGCGTTGATGCGGGACAGGTCGCTGCCAGGCTGGGCTACTGGCCACCACTAGTATCCATTTCACATGCGGAACTCGTTCACGGATGGCCACCGCCTCGGCGAACCCAAAGGAGCAGACGTCGCCGACTTCCAGCACGTCCGGCCATGCATACTTGGTCACTCGCTTCGCCTCGGCGTCGATCTCGGCGGACACGAACAGCGCGGGAGTGAGCCCCAACAGGTCCAGGGCGCGGCGAGCCCCACCAATGCCGTCGAACAAGGACAGGAGCACCACCTCGTCGCGGAAGTCAGTCACCAGCCTTCGGCTGGCCGCTCTCGCAGCGGCCACTCCATCAGGCCGAATGCGAACAGCTCGACACACGGCTCCACGCTGCATGCTGACATCCGAGACCGTCACCAGCCCGCTGATCGGCACGCGCAGGTCGCAGCGAAGTAAAGGGAGCAACGTTAAGGCCGACACCAGCTCCTCGCGCACCTTACGCGGCACCTTCGCATCACCACGCAACTTCACTAAGAATCGCCACAAGTGGGTGAAGCACATCTGCTTCGCGCCTGAACAGGAGGCACCGAACCCATCGGCCCGCCAGGATCTGCATCCACTTCTGAGTCGCTGTGGGCCTTTGCAGAGTCGCCAGCCAAGGTGAGGGAGATCAACCGTCGCACGAACTCTGCGGGCGGCCCGATGGTGCCGCGCTCCCCATCGATCGCCTCCCCGAAGGACTGCGTCGTGGTCTCGCGGATGACGGCCTTGTTCTCGCTTCTTGGCACGTTGAAGTGCTCATACCTCCGACGGGCCAGATCGACCGCCTCGCTGATCACCTCCTCCTGCAGGGACTTGGCGTGCCACCAGTCGGTGATCTCCAGCACGTCCAAGTTGTCGATGTAACCTGCCAGGCCCTCCAGAGGGCTGGCGTGTTGAGGCGCTCCAACCACTTCGCGATCAGAACATCGCCGTGGCAGGCCTGGTGCTCCTTGCAGTGGCAAAGCAGCCGAACATCACTCAGAGAAGATAAGTCGGCCAGAAGGTCGGGCGACTTCTCCAGGTGCTCTGCGAATAGCTCGATGGCCCGCCTCCTGTCCAGACCATCCCGAATGCGGAACGGGTTGCCCCACTTCGATGGAGCAAGCTGTAGTGGGCTGGAGCCGCGCCCGATGTAGATCGTCCGCTTGTCGTCATCATAAGTGCGGCCGACCTCGCCACGGACAGGAGCCACTCCTGAGATGTGAGAGCCACCTCGGCGAGCAGGAGGAATAGGAGCGTCCTTGCGCAGCTCCTCCGACGCCGAGAGTTGCCGTAGCTCAGGATGCCGGGCTCGAAGAAGGCGACGGTGGATGTGCTGAATCACTCCGGTGGCCGACATCCATCCCATGGGTTCGACGGCGGCGGCCAGGTATATCATGCCCTTGCCTGAAAGCCCAGCGACGCACCTCCTCGCGGGCTTTGAGATGGCCATGTATTTCAGCCGCACATCGCCGAGGCTGTACACGTAGAAGCAGCACTTTAGATCCTCCGCACTCCAGAGCATCACCTCTCCAGACCTGAGGATCACGCTCTTCCACTTGTCGCTGTGGGGCAGCATCGGCATGTCGCCCTCGATAGTATTCTGGATGAAGTTGGAGGGGATGATGTTCATCACCAGCCGCTGCGGCCCCTCGCCCTTCAAGTGGGATCCCTTCTTCGCGCCGAACATGCCCCCCACCAACTTTCGCCCTTGAACCTCCACGATGTCCTCGTACTCAATCGTCTTGAGAATCCCCCTCTCGAGTAGGTCGCCAGCGATGAGCTCCCATTCCTCGTTCGAGGCCCAGACCTTCGGAGTGGGGGGCAAGCTGCCAAGCTCCGACTCGTCCTTCAGGATCAGACCTGGGTCGGAGAGGGCAGCTCTGATCCAACCCTCTGTCGCATCAACGGCCCTCACGGCCGCGCACGCCTCTCGAGGAGGCAGGGCTTCGAGCAAACGATCACGGTCAAGGGGCTCGGCAGGGAACACCTCCTCGCCGTCGTAGGAAGTGGCGGCGGAGCAAAGGTCGGCGTCCCAGTCGATGTCAGGGATCAGGCCAGCGCACTGCTCACGAAAGACTCTGACCTCATAGAGAAGATTATCGAGGGCCTTGCGCTGAGTGGCGCTTGGAGGGCCGTGAGGCGCATGGACCCAACTGCGAGTGTAGTGAAAGTTGAGACCTGACACGATACAATGTAGCCAATCTAACTCCTCAGGCTTCGCAGCTGCCAGCTCTTGACCGTCCTCACGAATGTCTCCGCGACGCCGAGGAGCAGCCAACCCATGAGACACGATCGGGGGCGGGAGAAGATCCCGACGCTCTCGCCGACCTTTCGGTGACGGAAGCGGATCCCCATAGACTGCATCATATTCGGAAACCAGCGAAGCCGTCGAAGGAGTGCGTAAAGAAGCCGGGTGTGAGATACCATCGCATTCAGAAGTAACGTCAGCTTTACCAAATGACTGATTGACTGAATTGCCAGTGGATGTACGTAAAGAAGCCAAATGTGAAGAGTCGCCTGTCTCGCCGTGGGCCGCCTCAGAGGCAGACCCAGCACCCCCAGTAGCGGTGGCCAGGGTAGGCGACGGCGACCTCGAACGATGCAATGCGGACTTACGTTCAGTGCCGGGGTGTAGCGCAGGAAGTAGCCGCGACAGTAGCGTGGTGCCGAAGTTCTCAACGGATGAACTGGGCAGCGCACAGGGCAAGGAACATAAATTCTCGGAGACATCCTTTGTGTCGCAAGCGACAGTGTGCTCCGCGTCATGCAAGGAGTCAAGACAAGATGACCTCTGGGATGAGATCTCCGACTCCTGATCATCGATTGGATTGTCATTCTTCTCAGACTCAGACGGAACAACCATCATGTCCGTGGGAGCTAGGCGCGCTGCTTGCCCTTGCTCTTGCCCTTCGACTTGCCCTTGGAGCCGGGACCCTGCCACCTGTCCGTGTCCGACTTGCCGCCGCCCTTGCCTTTCTTGAACTTCGGCTTGCCCGAGCTCGTGGTCTTCGCCTTCTCGCCCTTGCGCTGCGGCGAAGGCGAACCTGGGTGGCTCCTCGGCGCTGGTGGCTGCTGCAGTCCGCCTTGCTCGACCTGATCGGCGAAGTGCACGCGCCTCACTGGTGGCGCTGGCCGCGTCTCCCTTCCAGCAGGTGGGCGCAGGATCGGTCGGCGATCGGGGCCAGGGCTCACGGCGCCGCGCGCGGCGGCGGCTGGTGACCCTGGGGCGCCAGGCGCGGGAGGATGCGAAGCTGCGGGGCTGGCCGACTGCTGCGCCTGCCCTCCTCCGTGAGCTGCTGGTGCTGCAGCTTGCTTCTTCGCGGCGGCAGCCTGCCTCCGCTCCTTCCTCCAGCGCGTCTTTCGTGATGCCTTCGCGCGCTCCACCATGCTGCTGGACTTGTTGGTCGTCGGGTTTGAAGAGAGGATGCCAGGGGTCGGAGATGGCCTCCGAGAGGGCGGCGCCCGAGGCTGTCCGCTGCCCTCTCGGCCTGACCCCTATCCTGCGCCACCTCCCTTCTTGGCCTTCGCCACGCTCTCGGCCAGGCCAAACGTCCTCTTGCGCTTGCTCACGGCGTCGTGCACCTCCTCCTGGCGAGCGAGACCCACGCCCAGGTCGTCGCACAGCTCGAGATGCTGGGCCACCTGCCAGTGGCCGTCCTTGGTAGCCTGCTCGATCGCCTTCAGCCTCTGCATCAAGAGATCGCCCAGGTGATCCAACTCTCCTCTGAGCAGCGCGTCGAGACACTCGCCGACAGTTCGCATCTCGCGAACATTTCCCACCCCCATCTCGCTCTGCGGGTGGTGACCGTGCCAGACGCTCGCGATGTACTGCACCACCGTCGCCGCCAGCTCGTCCAGGCCCTTGTCGGTGTCCGCCCCGCCACGCCGTGCAAGCTAGCGCTTGATCTGATCCATTCCGCTCGACAGGAGAGCTCCTGGAGCGGCGTGGGCAAGATGAGCTATCCTGCGGCCTGGGTCGACGTGGGGGGCGCCGTCAAAAACTGAGCCATCGGAGCTGCTGTCGTCACCGGCGCGTCGTGTCCGCCTCCTCTCGCGACGACCCACTCGACGACCGCCAAGAGCCTGCTCAGCACGCTCCGCGAGGGCCTCACCTATCCCACGCTTGCGATGCAAGCGTAGGCGCAATTCAGCTACCTTCTTCTTCAGCTCCTCGGGGGTAGGCTCCGAGCCAGCCACGGCACCTCCAGCGGCAGCTCCAGGCGGGCCAGCACCTCCGACGGATCCGCCAGGGAGGCCAGCGGCTGTCTGCCCCCCCAGCGGCTCCACGACTGGCCAGCAGCGCCTGAGCCCACGGCTCAGTCACCCCCGTGGAGCTTCGCATGCGGTAGGTCTCCACGTGCAGCACGGAGCGCTGAGGCCAATGCACCAGCCCTGAGCACACGTTGGCCTGCTGGGTGCACAGGTGCAGCACCGCGCCACCGAGGTGATTGAAGCTCCCCGACAACGTCGGCCACAAGGCGGCATTGCTGCAGCCCAGGAAAGACGCCTCCACGAAGACGCCCATGCCGTCGCCAGGCCACACACTCTGGATGCTGAACAGCGCCGTGCCGACAGCGCTTCCGAAACTGTCCAGGGTCACGCACTCCAGCAACCCTCCTGGCGACAGCCCAAGCCGCTGGTACGCCATCGGCGACGAAGGGCCGTGCACCCAGGGTCCTGCTCCTCCTGGCGGTGCCGATAGGTCGAAGCCACAGCCTCCTGGAGGCCCAACTCCACCACCAGCTGCAGGCACCCAGCCCAGCAGGCCACCAGCACCTGGGGCTGCCCCTGCACCTGCGGGCACGCCTCCGGCTCCACCGCCGAAAACGCCACCAGCAGCCGGGGCCCAAGCACCAGCGCCGCCGTGACCTCCGACGCCGAGAGCACCTCCTCCCAGTCCAGGAACAGCTCCAATGGGAGGTCCTGCCACGCCGCCAGCTCCACCAATCACGGCGGCTGCTCCACCTGCCAGAGGGGGAGGCACGAGTCCGCCCAGCGGGCCTCCTCCACAGGCAGCGCCAGCCATCCCGGGCGGACCTCCGCCTCCAACTGCCACCATGCCTGCAACCGCTCCGACTCCCGCGGGTGGTCCACCGCAGCCACCCGCCAGTACTCCAGGAGCACCTCCAGCCTGCACATCCGCGCCAGCGGCTCCTCCTCCTGGCGGGCCATCGGCGACAGGAGCTGCTGCGGCTCCTCCGTCGGCACCGTCCGCTGCGGCTGCGGCGGCTGCACCGCGACCACCTCCACGGGGCCGAGCCGCCACACCTCCGCGGCCTCGAGCGCCTGCAGCAGCCGCGGCCGCACGCGCTCGCCTGCCGCCCGCAGCCCCGCGTGCAGCGGCCGCGCGTCCTCCGCGGGCTCCACCGGCGCCTCGCCCGTCTCCGCGACCGCCGCGACCGCGGTTGCCTCCGCGGCCTCCTGGGGGCGCGGGCAGCGCGGCCGCTGCGCCTGCGGGCAGCGCGGCGAAGCCGCCAGCGGCGCAGCCGCCAGCGGCGCCGCCCGCGGCGGCCGCCGCCATCACATGGCCGAGCCGCCGCGCCTGCGGCAGGCGGCGCCCCTGCGGCTGAGGTCTCCCCCTGACCTCAGGCTTTCAACACAAAAAGCCTGCGGCGAGGCGGCATCGCGGCGCACGCACAGGAGAGAGGGACCCCATAGGAGAAACAATCAACATGTTCTAACATGAGTTTCTACACACAAATAGCAAGATTCCCTACATTTTGCCATATTTCTGGGTTTTTGTCTTCCCCCCCGCGCCCAATGTTTCCCAGTATTTTCTGGGGACTCGACGATGAATTGCCCCTGTGTTTTTGTTCCCCCTCCTGAGTGAGGGCGGCTCGATTTCAAAGTGCGTTTCCTGCCTCAGCGCCGCGCTCCTGCGTTCTGAAAACTGACAAGGGCTTCACGGATGCAAGGGGGCTCCTTTTCAATCTGTGGCAGTTTGGTTCAGCGCCGCGTACAGTCGCTTGAAGCCTTACAAGAGCGTAATTCTTTCCAGTGCGCAGTTTACCAAGAAAAAAAGGTGCTCGGGAACGGCTCAGGATTGTCAGGGCGCAGCAGTTAAGTTGATTCGCGGTGTTGGAGTCCCGGGAATGGTGTTCCAACAGGAATCAGGGCCGTCACAACGCAACATTCGAGTTGCCTCGTGGCGCTGGATTCCTGAAAAGGGTGTTTTGGCACGCTGCAGGATTTTCACGCGGCTGTTCTCCAACGGGGCACTTCCCTCAGTGGACATGCACCCCTGTAGGGACCCAGGAAGAGGGAGCCTGGAGGGTGTATTCCAACATCGTTGGTGAGTCTTGGGTTTGCACTGGTCCTCCTCCTCCTCCTCATCTTCTTTTCTCTCCTCCTCCTCCGACCTCGTCCTTCCTCCTCCTCCTCCTCCTCCTCCCGCTTCTCGATGAGGTCTGCGGAGGGCGGGGACCAGGATGGGGAGAGAAGGAGAGGGAAGGAGGAGTAGGAGGAGGAGGAGGAGGAGGAAGAGGGGGTCCGTAGCCATTTTGGCTCAAGGTCCGTAGCGTAGTGGCTCAGTGACCTTGGCTTTTTGGCGCGGGGGTTCTGCGGCCCCGCTCTCGCACCAATGTCTTCAGATACCGCGCTGAGGTTTCCCTCGCTGCCGCTGCCTGACACTCGTCTCGTTACCTCTTACTGGGCCCGTGGGCCAGATGAAAAATTGGGCTTGTCCTCGTGCCAAGCAATGTGGGTACCCCTTCAACTATTCGTGGCGCTCGTCGTGTCGCTTGTGCGGCCACGCGCCGAATAAGCCTGTCGTTGGCGAGCCCCCACCGCCGCGAAGGAGCTGGGTGCGCCCCCCAAGATCTCAGAGAAGTACCATGACCCACCCAATCCCACGGACGATCAGATCGAGGTCTTCGCCGCCATGTCGGCTCGAGATTTCGACGCTATCAGTGACGGGTGGCATCCGAGGGTGGTTGGGCGTGCGCGCGCTGCGCGGGCCATGCTCCAGGGCGAGCCGCGGGGGTGCGCTAAGCAAGCGCACGTCCAGCAAGACGTCCTCCAACAGAAGCTCGAGAAGGCCAAGTCCAAACTCGAGCGGGCCAGGGCCGCTCTCGCGCAGTCCATGCAGGCTGCTGCCCACGCCAAGGCCGAGCTGGACGACGCC